AAATGGCGGGAAAAAAATTAAAATTACACAGAAACACCGCATCAGCGTAAACGCCGCAATAGATTAAATTGCGCATGACATCGTTGTGGGCCGTATAGATGCAAAAACTCAACCTAAGTCCTGATATATGACATACCAGTTAAGAAAAATGCATGAAATGAAACCATAACTCAAAAATAAATTAAAGGTAAGAAATGTTTAGTTTCTGTGCCGTTTAGAGACATTTTCAAAAATTTTCTGCTCCCTTCTTACTTAAAAACTATTCAACAAGTACTTGTACCCAAACTGATGGGATTTGTATTTGGCAGAATGCCAAGATAAATCCATTCATGCTGAAAAGGAAATACGTCAGAGTTCGTTATTGCGAGGCAGGTGAAGTCGTGTCCGCCTTTGAAAAAAATTGCAGGAAAGGCAGGTATGGGGAGAGGATGGGTCCTGGAAGATTCATCGAATGGCAGAGGAGAGAGACTATTCAAACTGATGAGAATGTTGATTTGAAAGGGGGAACTAGTGTTTGGGACACTAACCGGCTCCGCCATTAAGATAAGGCACTACGGGCTTGAAATCATTCCGATCGTTGCGCTAGTAATCAAGGCAGTTAGGCCGCCTGTTACTGCTTGTGTGGACATACTGTCCTTTATTATATACATATACATAAAACAATACACATTACGTTACAACATCTAGATTAAAGTTTTGAATATAAAGCTCTCAACTGTATCTGTTGTTGACTTTGAAGATTACATTAGAATAGGATGAATATATACATAGGTCTTGAAGGTCACAGGTTGCTGCTGCGTGTCTGGAGCAGGGTTGAAGAAGCTGACTCTTTGGTCCTCGATGATGATGTCGGATCTTAAATTGACCTCTGTGATGATCTTGGTAATGCCTTTGACCAGGTAGAAGTCGTTTACTAGAGAGGACAGTGGGATGTTCCTGATGTGGTTTGGAAAGTGTCTTGTTCGAAGGTCGTCTAACAGCTGGCAGTCGAAGATGTAATGAAAAACGTCCGCTTGATGTCCTGGGGTGCCGCAGGTGCATCTTGCTTGCCGATTCAAAAACCTTTGATAGTAGGCTGGGAATTTTCCATGGTTGGTCAGTGCCTGAGATAGGTAGTGATTTGATCTTAGCCTCTTATAGCTGACTTTGTCGAAGATTTGGAAGGTGTGTCGTCCTTTGTCATCTTCTTCCCAGCGGTTGAAAGGGGGAAGAATGTTATTGTTCTGAGATCTCGTTTAGGGTGAATAAGGCATGTAGGTCCGTTCAAGGGAAAGAATGTAAACAAAATAACGTTCGCGAAAAGCAACTGAGTGGTCTTTTGTGTGCGAACAGCACCAGTCTATGCACAATGACAAGGCCATCCAAACTATGTACAATGACCATCATAGGAAATATTTTATTTTTAGCACCTAAACGCCGCATGGGTAGAAACGACGCACCCGCTGAAAATTTAAGTTTTAAACGCGTAAACGACGCGGCATTTCTTCCGGAAATTACGGTAACTAAAAGTGCTATAGCACATAGTACAATTACTACAGCCAGTTCTTTCGGCTAAATACAAACCCATGTAACATAAGAAATGCAAGGTATGTTTTACTGTATACAATTTCCCTTACATTGCATCATCAAGATGACACCCAAACCTAAGATTGAATGAAATTATGACAGTTCTTCTTACAAAGTTCGTTAATTTTATTAAAGAATTTGGTACTTTTCTGTTAACAGCGTCCCACTTGGGACCAAATCTAGTTAGAGAAAGGAGTGCCTTCAATAATAATGTAATAATTGCTGAATTATTACATTATTAGTGACAGCCATTAAAGAATGACTAATTTAATTTGGAATAAATACACAAATTTACAAATAAAAATGGTATATAAAGTGGATTTTATCTCATTAACTTCATATTACATAGAAGCATAAAACTAAGTTCATTTAATATTGAAGAAAACTGAAAAAATAAATCTGCACATAAAAATTTAAAATGCTTGGTATGGTTCCAGAATTTTGGGAAATAACTAATTACTAGGCAAGCATGAATTGTCTAGCCAACAGAGAATTTAACTGGAAACCCCAAATTTCCCAAAACTGCTATATGAAAGAGGTATTTTCTTGATTTTAATTCCAAAATACCCCTGCTATTTTATATCTGGAATTATATGCTTTTAATATGCATATCACTGATTTTCTTCCACAGATACATCGTGAATTTGTTGTTGACTTTGGAAAGCATTTGTAAACTTGGTTGACAACTTTGAGGAGAAACATTGATTGGGGTATCTTAACATTTATTTCAGCTATACATCCAGTATTGCCTATTTTTGCACATTCATTAAAAAATAAAACACTTTGTATTTTCAAGAGACCTTTCTGTAATTTTTTTGCATTGTTGTTGTTTTCTTGTATACACCAATCTGTTTTCACTTAAAAAAAAAAAAAAAAAAAAAAAAATTGCACTAACTTGCAATGGTGCAGCATTGGACACTGGCCATGATCACAATCACCCAAGAACAGTTGTATGCATTCCGACAAAATACTCCAATATAATGAAAATAAACTAGGGTAAACTCCATAGTTCCTTTATGATATGTTAAGGCAAAAAACAGATGTATTAAAGGCAAAAAGAAATACTAATCAGAAAAGTAACCACTGAATTTTAAAAGTTCAAATCCATATGTACTGAAATACCAGTATTTTAAATACATATCTGGGTTGCCACATATGTATATACTTTTTGAGAACATTACGGTGTCACACAGATAATACTTTCTTTTTACTTTTACTGACATGATGCTTTCCTTCTTCAGTATTTTTTTTTTTTTTTTCTTTTTCTTTTTGATGAGGGTGCAGAAAATAATAATCAAGTGATATAAAAGTGATTAATCAGAAATTCTGTTCTAAAGCATTAGAAAAGCAGTTCTCATATATATATTACAAAAAAAAAAAAAAAAAAAAAAAGTAATGCCTCATTGTTTAAAAATGGAATATCATAATATTTGCCACACCAGGAATAAAAAAAAAATGTTTATCTTGTTTGCAATTTTTAAATTAAAGCTAATACATTTTGCTGATTATATATAAAATTCTGTTCAGATGATACTTTGTGATATCATTTCTTAGCCATGATGGTATCAAGTAATTTAATCTGCAGTTAAGCTCAGAAAATTTGGTTTTAATGATTTGTGAAACTATTGGAAAATGTGTTTAAAGATTATAGAGAAAGAAAGAGGTGATTTATTTCAAGGTTTCTAGAATATTCCCTGTTAAGAGAGGAAATGTTCATCTGCAGATTGATAGACTCAGACTATAACAAAAGGCTCGCAGCAAAAGACTGCTACGGCAGAAACCTAAAAAAACTGAAAATGTTAAAATTTATGCATCGTATAATCACAGTGAAATGAATTCAAAGTTATTGTCTAAGTTAATGTTTAAATTAGACAGTAACTTTGAATAGGTTAAGGTTTTCATTGATTAGATGAGATGGTTTAGTAAATATAATAATAATTTGTATGATAATATGCATATATTATTACACTTTTATTAAATACAGTCAAAAGTCGTTAATCCGGACTCGTCGGGACTTTGGCGATTCCGGATTATCAAGTTTTCTGGATTATAGATCATCAGTTTAAATCTGGTAAGATAGCATGCAGAAATTATAAAATTAAAAATATGAAACCATAATTTATGAAATAAAGAACAATTATGATCTAAAGGGTATCAAAATTTACAAAAAAAAAGCTTAATATTTGTTTACTTTATTAAACATTTCTTTCAATGTAAGTTGCTTCGTTTTATGTGATAATACATTCTCTTTAATTCTATAAACAGACATAATTTCTTGTTCAGTTACAAAGTTTCGCTGTTCAAGTCCTATAATTGCTGTGTCGAATATACCAACTAATTTGTCAATCGAAATTTTTTCGTTTTCAATAACCTCTGGGTCACTTTCTTCGCTATCGGAAGCGAATTATAATGATGAGGAATTTGATTTAAATCATATCAAAGACGGAGTACATCGAGATGAAATACTGCATTTAGTAAGGAGTTATAAGCCAAATAAAATAAAAACATCTGCTCTGAAGATAAGGATAGTGCTGATAGATCAACTTCCAATTCATTGCGCGCCGCGGCGTTAAAGATAAACAAAGTTTAGATAAACAAAAGATATGCCTTTATCCATTTTTTGCAGCAATTCCACTTTTTGTTTAATGCACTTCGAAACATACTTTCGCTTTGTAGATCTTTTTACATATTAGTAAATATATATCAGAAATTCTATTTGACATAATCGAAAGTTTAAGCTTACTTTTATAAAATTGCTCTAACAGTCTGCAAAAAATAATAAGCCGAATCCAATTCGAAGATTAAGGAACAACGCAATTTGCAACTAATTTTACAATTAAATGTGCATTTGTAAATGTATTTTGCGAATGTGCACATGCATATTCGCAGCCGTAAAGGTCTTACGCGCATGCGTCAAAGCGACGCATGCGCAGAAAGTTTGTAGCTTTGAAGTCCGGATTATGGGTGTCCGACTTAACGACTTTTGTCTGTATAGTAAATATTAACTCTATGAGAACTTTTATAGCACACTAAAATATGAAAAAAAAAATGTTTTATGTGTTATTTGTAATGCATTATTTTTAGAGTAGAAAAGTGACATTCTATTATGCAGTCAGAAGGGGACAATGGAGTAATAAAAACAGAAGATAGTTCTAATTTTACAATTTCAAAGTTCTTTAAAATGGCTAAATTTGAGCATCAGCTTTATAACTGGCAATCTTATGTTTTAGATGCATCGTTTTGAATATGTAATGTCTGAAGTATAAATAGCATGGCATTTCTTCTTCAGATAATTGATTTTAAAAAAAGGAGGCATAGTTTTTGCTTTCATATTTATGAAGAATTTTTTTTAACATGTTCAGATTTCTGTGATTTATACATATTTAGTTCAATGTAAATAATTCTGCTTATTTAGGATTATATTGTTTTCTTAGGATTCAATCCTTGGAGAAATCCTATAAAGATTTACCAAATTCTTTACTTTTGATTGAAAATATTAATGGCAACAAAAAAGTTATTGGACATAGTCGTCTCAGTAGAGTGCTGGAAGATCCATCTGGATGCTGGATAGGATCAGGTACTTAATCTCTTCTTTCTCATCTTACACAAATGAAAAATACTTTTTTTTTAAGTAACAAAAGATAAACTTTTAATAAATTTAAAAATTAGTGTTATACAAATGTTTGTATATTTTGGGAAAAAAAAAAAAGCTCTGGCAAAAAAGATAATTTGTATTGCAGAACAACAAGGATTAACACTGGAAGAAAAGCTAGAAGGAAAAGGTTTTCAGTTAACTGTAGCATTCAACATAAATGTATTGCATATTATTAGAAGGCTCTATGTTATATCTGCTATTTATATCCAGTGCCAGTTTATTCATTGGGTGCTTAAGGCGGGTGCCCAGGGGCCCAGTTAAGTTGCACCCAAGCAGAATTTCTGGTTATAAATTTGTATAGTTGAAGATAAAAATTCTTTAAAAAAGTAGTAAATGATATTGTGAAAATAATTCCCACCTCTCACCTCCACATCCATGTCCGTATTGTCTGCTGATATCTAAGGCCGCCGCGGCGCCGGGTGGTAAGAGTGGGATGACAACTATAATGTATGCTTGATGAGTCGTAGCACTTTAGCCTGTATTCAAGCACTAATAAAGCAAGTCTTTATTAAGTCAAGCAAGTTTTTATTAGTGCTTTAAGCAAGTCTTTATTAGTGCTTTCAGCTGTGTGCACTTTAGCCGTATTCACATAAAAGTGAGATGTGAGCTCAGTAACTTCATCAATGACTGTAGCCAATTTACTCAAATACTCTTCATTAAGAGCAGCCAAAATAAATCATGCATTATTGGAGAGCCTTGCAAGCCACAAAATTCTCCATTAATTAATTAACAAGGGTTCACCTGCTAAAGCATGCATATGAATCAAAAACAGAGAAGGGCAGAGGGTGCCAGGCTTAAGATCTTGCAATAGAGTACCAATTTTTGACACTTCGCTTTCAGAATTTATTCCAATCAGTCTTTATGTTAGGATAGCATATTTCCCAGTAGTGGGAGGGTTTTCAAATGATATCCCTAACGGAATTGAGTATATCAAAATCCACAGCAGCAACAACCTGGCTAAATTTTAAAAATGATATCGCTAATAGAATTGAGTATATCAGAATCCACAGCAGAAACAGCACGATTAAATTTTGTTAAATCCTAAGTAATATTGGAAAACTAAAACTGCAATACCAATCTAACAAACCATAATGCAGGGTTTGTTTTCCAGAAAGGTGGTAATTTTGCTGGAACGTGCAATACATGTGTATCTGCTATATTTTCAGTTGGAAAATCATCAGTAGAATTTTCATTACACAACATGACTATGAAATTTAGAAAAGATATATAATTCTAATTTCAAAAAGAAAGGTATAAATGCTAAAGCATGGTATTGAACAGGGTTGGCCAAACTTCATGTCAGTAAGAGCCGCACGTTTGAATTCAGGAATGTTCGAGAGCCGCATCTAAATTTTCTAAAAGCCACAAGTTCACATTTATATCATTATAGTAGTAGTGGAAGAGGTTTTAAATAGAAAGAAATCCCTGATAACTTTGTAAAAAGAGTCTGAACTAATTAATTACTTCTTTTTGGACACTGAATAGTTTTAGTTTACCATATTTCAAACATATATTTTATATGCGTGAGCCGTACAAATTGACTGCAAGAGCCATATCAGGCTTGCGAGCTGCACTTTGCCCACCCCTGGTATAGAAGGATAGAAGACCTATCACACATCTATAACCATTAGGGATGTAGAAACATTAGGTATTTTGAAGCAGGAGTCATGTAAAATTAGCAGTACCCTCGCTGGGACTTGAACCATGGACCTCCCAAATATGTGCTGAGTGTCCTGACCACTACACCATGAAGGCATGCTAAGAAGGCAGGACAAATACCTTATATACTTCCCCCTTTTAAAGGGCGACTGGGCATTAGGGGACCCAATCGCCAAATCCTGGTGGCAAAGAATCGTTATCCACCATCTTTTTTTTTTTTTTTTTTTTTTTGAAGCAGGAGAGATGAAAAATGAGCAATGCCCTCACCTCGACTTGAATCATGAACCTACCTCTCGAATACACGTCGAGCATGTTGACCACTGCACCATGAAGGCATGCTAAGGGTGTGGGAGTAATGCCTTATGTACTTCTCCTTTTAAAGGCCAACTGGGGATTAGGGAACCTAATTGCCAAATTCTGGTGTTGGAGAATCACCATCCACCACCTTTTAGGCACCACTGAGACTTTTAGGCACTGTAGAGACATTAGGTAATTTTGATGCTGGAAATGTGAAAAATGAGCAATGCCCTTGCCGGGTCTCGAACCACGGACCTCTCGAATACGTGCCAAGTCTGCTGACCACTGCACCACGAAGGCATACTAAGAAGGCGGGTGAAATACCTTATAAGGACACACACTAGAAGAAAAAAATATATCAATGTAAAATATTCACCTACTAAAAATATTTTGTACCTATTATCAATAAGGAAAAACTGACTCCATTAATGCCAAAAATGCATGATAGAAATGTTTTCTTTAAAATAATACACTTTAAAGATATTCTAAAAATTTTTCAAAAATCCAATAAAATTAACAGTTAAAAATCTTATTCTATTTTTAAACGCTTACTCTTAAATAAAATTTAAAAAAAAAAAAAATTTAAAAAGGTAATCCAGCTTCAGCACTGACACATGTTGATGAACATCTTCACTAAAATAATCTTTAGAATCATTATACTGATGTTATACTGCCATTAAATCACAAAATCTAACCAGGTTGCTCAAAAACTTCCTCCAGTAACATGTAAAATTGCAGCATACTTCATTCAGATAAGTACTGGACCACTAGATTTTATAACTGGAGAAACGGCTTCTCAAAATCACAGCCTATTTTCAAGGCAGGTATAACTGCAACGTATGGTGTACTAGTGTAGTTCTTACTTTTAGTCACCAAATATGGTGATGCTTTATCACCATTTGAGTCAATCAGAAGGTCATTCAAAAGGCCTAAAAATCACAAACTTCAGCTAACAGTTAAAACCAACTTTATTCAACATTTAAAGAAGGAAAGCACATTTTGCAAAAGGTTAAATATTTAAACATTAACACACTTACACAAGTTGATGCCAGACATTGGCAATGAACAGCCAAAAAAAAAAAAAAAAAAAAAATTGAAAAGTCATTGATAAAAACTTCAAGTTTTTATAGTCGTGAGCATATATGCATATTGCACAGCAAAGATGAATGTTGCCATTCACTGCAGTGAAGATTTCCACTATAGAGTTTTTGCTATGTGCAATATGGAAGGAAATGACATGAGAGTTAAAATCAAGATGTTTTAGAGGTGCTAAATCAATGGAAGTAGATTTTGATTTCAACAAGAACTCGTGGATGACCTTGGGCATATATATGACTGTACAGAAATAAAAATTTACATTAGTGATATTCAATTGCAGTGCTGGTCTTTAAAACATCAAAGACTAGTATGAAAATCTTAAGGCTTTTTTCCTCCAAACGTTACTTAAACTGCAGCCAATGGATCAGAGGGTTATAAAAGGTGTTAAGATTATTATGAAAAAATTTTGAAGAAGGCCCTCATATTGAGTAATCACGAGTGACAGTAATCAGCCTTTATGTTTAATAAATTTATATGAATGTGAATCTGAATTTGCAAAAGTGTGGTATAATGCCAATGAAGAAACTGTTCACAGTTGCTTAAAAAACGGACTTCATTACCAAAATTTATGTTGCTGATAATAGTTGTGCAAATGACAGTGATGGCGGAGATGAGGAACTAAATAATATGTGGCTGCACTTGAAAAGCTATAGAATTATTAGGTTATTTTGAAGCAGGAGATGCGAAAATTGTGCAATGCGCTCGTGGGACTCGAACCTGGACCTCTCGAATGCGTGCCGAGTGTGCTACAGTTACACCATGAAGGCATGCAGAAAGGAAGGAAAAAATACCTTATCTATTCCCCGTTTTAAGGGGCAACTGGGGATTAGGGTAGGGGACCTAATCGCCTAATGGTGGTGAAGAATCATCGTCTACCACCTTTTGGTTCGAGCACCACTGTAGAGACATTAGGATGTTTCGAAGCAGGAGATGTGAAAAATTAGCAATGCCCTCGCCAAGACTCGAACCTGGATCTCTCGAATATGCGGAGTGTGCTACCGTTACACCATAAAGGCATGCAGAAAGGAGAAAAAAGATACCTTATATAATTCACCTTTTAAAGGGCAACTGGGGATTCGGGAGCCCATTCACCAAATCCTGATGGTGAAGAATCATCATTGACCACATGTTTTAATTCAGTTGTCATTGTAGTGTCATTAAGTTATTTTGAAGCAGGAGATGTGAAAATTGTGCAATGTCCTCACCAGGACTCTAACCTGGACATCTCAAGTACATGCCAAGTGAGCTACTGTTACACTACAAAGGCATGCAGAAAGGAGGGAGAAAATGCCATATAAAGTCAAAGGCATGCAGAAAGGAGAAAAAAGATACCTTATATAATTCACCTTTTAAAGGGCAACTGGGGATTCGGGAGCCCATTCACCAAATCCTGATGGTGAAGAATCATCATTGACCACATGTTTTAATTCAGTTGTCATTGTAGTGTCATTAAGTTATTTTGAAGCAGGAGATGTGAAAATTGTGCAATGTCCTCACCAGGACTCTAACCTGGACATCTCAAGTACATGCCAAGTGAGCTACTGTTACACTACAAAGGCATGCAGAAAGGAGGGAGAAAATGGCATATAAAGTCAAAGACAGTTGAAGAATTAATATTGAAACCTCAGGAATTCCCACTGAAGAGGAGATATTTGAGACCATAAAAAATAACAGCCAGAAAGAGACTTGTGGCGTTCCGACAGATACTTCAACTTCTATTCATGAGATGGCGCCACATGTAAAATCCAGTTCTTAATCGGAGCAGCAAAGCGACATCTTTACTCACTCAGACTTCTCGTCGGACAAGTGTACGCGACGGCTAGCACGAACTGTGTTCCGAGCTCTGTGTTGATCTCTGCAATGTAATT